TTGTTGCTTTTACTGTATCCAGGTTAGTAATCTCTTCTTCTATTTTTCTCTTCTTTTGAGGTGGCATTTTATTTGTAATATCCTCTGATTCGGGAATATATTTCCTTTTCATTAATAATACTGATTATAAAACTATTAATTTCTTCTTCTGGAATAAGGGTTTCTTTAGTGATTACTTTTACATTCGAGTATATTTTAATAGCATTTTCTTGATATGTTTCTGCTAAAATTTGAAAATATTTTATATCTTCTTCTCCAGGTCTTCCTCTGAACCTTAGCCTTTTTATAATTTCTTCAATTGGGGTGTTTCACAAAATTATTAATGCTTCTCTTAATAATCCTTCCCATTGTTTATAGTTTTTACAAATTTCTTCTTTATCTTCTTCTTCAAAATATCGTTCTTTTCTCATTGTTTCCATGAAGAATTTTGTTGACATTAAGTTTTGGTCTATTAATATTACATCTGGTTTTTTTTCATGTGCCATGCAAATATAAATTTGAGTCATTCAATTATCTCTTATCCATTTTTCCCATTCTATAGTTTCTTTTCGGAATTGTTTTCTTCCTAATTCTTGTTTTCTAAATTTTTTTAGGTTTTCTCCATATTTCTTTAATCCTCCAAAAGAGTCTTTGGTAATAAAAAATTCATTTAATACTTTTATTTTCAATCCTTTTCTTTCTAAATGCTCTTTACACTTTTTTACTAAAGTAGTCTTTCCTGTTTCACATGTTCAATCGATTCCTATTATTGAAGTTTCTATTTGTTGTTTTCCAGTTAATATATCTTGAACTGATTAAATGATAAGTTCCTTTAATACTGATTTAATATCTTTTAATTTTCAATCTGTCATCTCCCATGGTTTCATCAGTTTTGGTATCTCATTTGTAATTGCTTTGAAATAATGAACTATTCTCTATTCATTTTCTTTTTGATAATATTCTGTACTCCAATATTTTAGGTCACTTATTTCAATTTTTATTTCAGTTTCTTCAAGTATTTCTCTTTGAGTTACATGTTGTCTTGTTAAATTTGTTTCTTCAATATGTCCTTCAGGTGTTTGCCAGTATCTATAAAATTCTTTTATATAATTCTTTCTCTTGCTAACTCAGATCTTCCAGAAGTTAAGTTCATATAAAATTGTTGTGGTATATTCAACTATTTTTAATTCATTAATTGTTGCCATAATTGTTTTTCTGCTTCTTGACCAAGTGAGATATCCAGGGTTTTTATAAGTTTTTCAGGACTTTTACCATACGCTGTTGACCGTGATTACCTTTATTAAACATGATTAACTATCAATTAATAACAGGGAAACTATTGTTCAAAAGGTCACAAAGCAATTGGACGAGTATGTTATAGTTAGAAGGTTTTGTACTTGAAGAGGTATAAGGGATAAAGGATTTAATGGTACGGGTTTGTTCGAAAGAGGATAAGGTGTGAGGTTTTTTAAAGGAGTATGAGGTTTAAACAATATGATACTAAGGCAACTAATATTTACACAGAATATTATAAGTTTCACACAGAAACTACAAGAATTCACACAGAATTAATACAATTAATCAAGATCACGAAGCAAAGTTAATTATAGATAAAATAATACCGAGATCACGAAGCAAGGTATTATTTATTAAAAAGTATTTCACTAAGAAATCAAAAGTTTCAAATTATTATTTTGTCACAAAGACTTTTATTAATAATTTATTACATATATCGAGTTTAGAATATATTCAAGTTCTAACTGTCCTAACTCTAAGGGCAAAAGCTACTTCTATTTATATAAAATTGCCATCCTTTCGTAAAACTATAATTACTAATCTCAAGAAAGCTCTAGAAATTTCCGTAATACTCCAGGAGATTCTATAAGCTATTTTAGCTAATGAGTTATTTGTACTAGATGTGTTTACCAGAGGTGGTGACCAGAGGTGTTAACCAAAGGTGTCAACCTTGCATTACAATAAAAAATGATCTACATCTGTTACTCGTAAATAATAGTACTAATATATAATGTTATACAAATAAAGAAATCTAATTAATAAGCTATAATAATGCTAATAAAAATATATATATAAAAATTAAGAAATAAGGTTAACAACATGTATCTACAAAAGGATATATTATAAATATTAAATGACAGTAGTTTCCACTCTGAAGAGTGAAAAATAACAGATGAAGAATATAAAGGTACTATTTACAAGTTATATTTATATTATTTTCATTTATAATTAATTTAATTTATTAAATTTACAAAATAAGATCCATTAGAAAGATTTGAGATTATAGATATAGTGATAATAATTATTATAATGATGATAATTGTAATAATAATTACAATAATGATAATTGTGATAATTATAATGATGATGATGATAATAATAATTGTAATAATTATGATGATGATAATAATCATAATAATTACGATGATAATAATAATTGTGATAACAATAATAATAATAATAATGATAATAATAATAATAATAATGATAATAATAATAATAATGTCATATTATCATTATTACATAATTATGATGATGATGATAATAATGATAATAATAATAGTAGTAGTAATAGTAAAAGTAGAATTAGTGCTATTACAGATGCCATCATCTTCACTGCTGCCACCACTGCTACCACTGCTATCCACTTACGTAAAATAATAATATCGATTTTTATTAAAGATAAATGGTGGTGATCTGATTTGATAAGTAGATCAATGGTAATAATATTTTTATATTTATCGGATATAATATTAATAAATGATATTTTATAGTTAAAAAAGTTACTGTACAAAAAAATTGACCTAGTAATTAATATTGTGTACAAACCACTGAAAGTGTCAAAAACCAAAATCAGATCTCCACGACATATACTAACAAAAGTAGAAATATCAAAAAATGTTTCAATTAGCTCGTTGAATAATTCATTTATCAGAATACAAACTATATACTATTTTAAAGAGGAAAGGCAGTGACCATACCAATGCTGACGTACTTTCAAAGCTAGAAATCACTCCAGTGCACAGTCTTCTGAATTTTTTATATTAATTTAATCTTATAAATAAATACAAAATAATTCACTCAAAATAAACTTAGAAGTATACAATAACCTCATTAATTATTTATTATTTCATAAATATTCAGGAAATTTTATAACAAGTGACAAACAAAGATTAGCAAGGCAAGTAACACAATATTTGATAGAACAAGGGCAATTATTAAGGAAAAATAAAAACAATTTTAACAAACCGTTACGAGTAATAACTCTGTAGGACAGAAAACGAATTTTATATAATCTACATTCATCTCCCTTAGGAGGACATTTTGAATTCAAAAAAATAATTAAGAAAGCTCTGGAAAGATATTATTGGCTTACAATGGGAAAAGATATTAAAGCATATATTGAATCTTGTGATAGTTGTCAAAGATTTGGTAATTCCTAAAAAATATAATTAACTGAATCTATATCAGTTATCTGACCTTTCTTTCAAATAGGAATTGACTATATTGAACCTTTGGAAACAACTGAAAATGGAAACAGATATATCATAGTGGCAACAGATTATTTCATCAAATAACCTGAAACACGTGCTGTAAAAATAGCAACAGCTAAAGAAACTGCTCAATTCCTTTATAAGGAAATCATTTGTCAACATGGAACCTTATCTATAATCTTGTCTGATAGAGGTACTTATTTTATAAATGATACAATCAAACTTTTAAAGGAGGAAATAGGATTTCAACATAAACTGGTATTGTCTTATCATCTTCAAATGAATGGATTAACAGAAAAATTCAATGGAACTCTGTACAGGTCCATTACAAAATGTTTACAAACTAGTCAATCTAATTGGGATCAATTAATACCTTCAGTATTTTTTTCTTATCATACTTTGAAGCATGAATTAACAAAATATATCTCCTTTTATTTGATACATGGAAGAGAAGTATAACTTCCTATTGATGTTGAGTTTAATGATAAGGAAAATTATTCTGTTTTAACTTATGAAGAGGTTTTGAAACGAATGATCAGTTCTTTAATAGGAACCTTCACTGACGCATTCATAATCTCCTCAAGAAATGTAACAAGTATACAAAAGTTACAAAAGGAAAGGCAAAAACATTTGGCTAAAGTCCACGAGTATCATGAAAATGATATCATATTATTATATGATTCTGCTAAAAGACAAGTGTATGGACAAAAGTTTAATCCTAAATGGACAGGACCGTTTTGAATAGAAAAAAAGTTAGGTAATAAGGTTTACTTGATAAGGGATAAAATTGGTAATATATTACCTAATCCTGTTTATGCAGAGAGATTAAAATATTATAAACAAAGGCATCTTGTAGAACCTTGTGTAATAATTACCTCAAATTAGTCAAAGTTTAATTAAACACCTGAACACAAAATTTATTATATAAAGAACTTTATTTTCTCAAGTTCTGTAAAATTTTATAAATCATGAAACTTCAACTTTCAGAAACTCAACGTACTAGATTATTAGAACTTTACCAAAGTTTACAATTAGATTATACTTCTATTAATATACAAATGACCTCTATACAAATTATTGTACAAAATAGTTCTCAACAAACCTCTTTAACAATTCCTACTTACTATCGACAAACACGATCTCAAAACTTTAATAGATATATTGAAGATGCATACAATGCTGAAGTTAACCTTGACCTTGAATTATATGATAAAAGAAATATTTTATCTCTTGTAAGTGTTGTCATTGATACTATAAAAACAAATGGACAATGACTCTTTGCATACTCAAAATCCTGGTTTCTATTATCAAGAGATCTTGTTGAGTGACAATTAACTATGAAACAATTGAGATAAGAAGTTCAACAAATAACCAGTTAAAATGGTACTCGATTCTTAACTATTGCAAATAGAATGTAGAGATTATTATCTGTGCTTGGTGAATTTTCCATTCCTCAATTTAGATATATTACCCCTAATTGGTTATATCATTTAACTAGTATAAACTTTGATTATTTTATTTGAAAATGTAGAGAACAACTTTCTCAAAATATGAAGTATTTCGCAGGAGCTCAATACTAAGGAGAAAATATTGTAGAATATTAATTTTATTTATTTTTATTATATTATTATTTAATGTATTTATTATTTATTTATAATTTATGTTAATCGAAGATCATATAACAAGTGGCTCATCAGGTTGACTACCAGATAAATCATCTAGGAAATTACCTGTTACACGTAACAGGTGGATCACCAGGTTGATTACCTCTTGCTAAAATTGATAAATCATTGATTTAGTAGATCGTTGCGCGCAGCAAATTAAAGGAATATAAATATGAGTCTTCCCTGGTCTAGGAAGAGGGAGTCCAAGAAGTTTTATACATCAGGAAATTTTTTCAGATGTAATATTTGTAATTTTAACACAATAATAAATTTCCGTAATTTTTCGTATAATATTACAAAAATTTATGAAAATTTTTAAAAATTATTAAAATGTTAAAATTCCATAATATTACATTCAAAAAATTACAAAAATTTAATACCGTATTAAAATTCCATAATATTATATTCAAAAAATTACAGAAATTTAACTTTATGTTAAAATTATAGAATATTATGTGAAAAATTACAGAAATTTATTACTGTGTTAAAATTATACGTGTTGCCCAAATCCCAAATCATTTGGGATTTGGGACGCCAAAATCCCAAATTACTAGTATTTGGGATTTGGGATTTGGGATTTTGGCAAAAAATACTAATCATAATTTGGGATTTGGGATTTGGGATTTTGGCATTTGGGATTTCGGCATTTGGATTTTGAATTTGGGTGGCAGGTATAGTTAAAATTACAGAATAAGTTCTTTTTTTTTAATTTATAAATTAGTACATATATTAGGTATAGTAAATATATATTTATATTTTGACAGAAAAAGAAAGAAGAAGATGGATTATTGACTTAACGAGAAAAAGTAAGGACAAGTATATAAAAAGATATCTGAAGAAAAATCTTGAAAAGATTTTGAATGATACTGGGTATCACTCAGAAGAATGAGAAGAAACAGATAACAAGGTAAGTTAATATTTTTATTATTTAAATTTATTCATTAATTTTAATTAACAATGAAAATAAAAAACATATTATAATATTAGAATTAATAACAATAACAACAATATCATTATCATTATTAGTAGTAGCAAGAACAATATTGTATCATCATCATCAGAAGCAAGACCAACAATTATAGATAGTGATTATAATAGTAATAATGATGATGATTATAACAATGAAAATGATAATGAAAATAATAATAATAGTAGTAATAATAATAGTAGTAATAATAATAATAACAATAATAATAACTATACTTCAAACAATAACAATAATTATAATAATAATGATAATGTATCTTTATCATAAAGAAAACTTCCATATATATATATAAGAAATAGTGAAAATCAGATGCTGTAAGTAAAATAATAATAATATTTTTTTATACTTATCAGACATGTTATTAATATATATATTTTTTTTAGTTATTAAAATTATTATATGAATGAATTAATCTGATCATATCTTGAATATATAAGAAACAAAATAAATCAAGAATTAAAAATGTTATATCAAAGATCTATTGAGAAGTAAATCTCTTCAAAAGGATTCTTTCATAGACACTTAGCGAAGAGGTGTTAATATTTGAAAATAGAAATAAAAATAAAATAAAAATATATAATCAAGATATTGAAGAAGGGAAAGAAGAAGAAGAAGAAAAAGAGGAAGAAGAAGATGATAATGATGATGACTTAATTGTAATTAATAAAGGAAAAAGAAAACAAAACCAAATATCATCATCATCATCATTATTATCAAAAAATAAAAGAAAACATAATTACAAAATATCAAAGAAAAATAAAAAAAATAAAAAAAACTAAAGAAAATAAACAATTTTATAATAAATATTTAATAATAATAATAATAATAATGGTAATAATAATAGTATATTTTTAGGACATTTGAATATTTTAAATTTTCTATATTTTTATTATAATAGTATATTTTTAGAACATTTTAAATTTCATACATTTATTATATGCAATAATAATTATATTAATAAAAATAAATGGTTATCGGGTATATTATATATATATTATATAAAATTGTATAAAATTTGTACAGTAATAAATAAAGCTATTAATTTGTATAATTTATTTGAAAAAAGTATTTGAATACAGTACAACTACTATACTTATCGGATACCCAATAGATATAATAAATAAAAGTATCGGAGGACCTGATAGATGTAATAAAAAAATATCAGACACCTATCAGAGGGGAGAATATATTACTGATAGGTCCCCAATATTGAATAAAAAAATCAGGTACCCAATTGATATAAAAAAAATAGCTGAAAAATAGGTGTCTGATATGTGTAGTATATGTGACCGATAAGTCCCCGATAAGTATCCGATATTAGGAATAAGACGACACTTATCGGGTACCTGATATATGTCAAAAAATATATATCAGGTACCTATCAGATACTATGATAAGTGCCCGATAGGTACCCAATATGCCAAATTTTGACCAGTGAATATCACTTTGTAACTCTATACTAATTTACTTATTAGTTAACCTCCTCACAATTGCAATCGATACATGCAAAATTGATGAAATAAATTCACAACGTGTTGCTTCATTGGCATCAGTCATTGATTTTATATTTGTTAGGCATAATACTATTTCTGATATATACTGATTAAGAGATTCATCATTATCATCTATCTCTTCAAAGACTATAAAAAAATAGCATTGAATATTAGTGTCTTCAGTAATATATGTATAAAGAATAATAAGTATGTCTTTCATCAGGAAATTTTTTCTAGTGAAAACCTTCGAAAGTTAACGTTAACGTAAGTATTTCGCTATTTTTCGATATGT